CCCCCCCCCCCCGCCCCCCACTATGACTCCCCTCATTATTTTTTTACCATTTATTTTATCGCTAGTTAATAATCACATTTCTTCCTAATTCATCCAAAGAGTTCTTACATCTCCTTTCGTCACTTGCGAATATCGATTCCATATCGCTTTTACATTGTCCATGCTTGTTTCCGCCTAATAAAGAAACAACTGTGGCCAGTGAGCAAATAAGTGTCTGAATGGTATAAAAGAACTGAAAATAAAATAATTGAGAATAAGATCACTGAAGGCAATAAAGCTTGAATCATCCTTCTTAGACATTACCAAAAGATAGCAAAAAAATTCGCTTATATGCATTAGGCTTCTTTTGCAATTGTTCATATTGCAAAAGATGTTTTCAAAGAACATTTCAAACAGGACATCATCAGTTTACGACCATTATTTCTTTGTGCATTTTCAGTTCTGCATAGAATTTAAACAACAGTCCTCACAGACGCAATTAATTTCAGTTATGGCAAAGTCTGCATATGAGCCAAGTGGCCCATCAGCCCGGCGCTTATCTTCGGCCGGTTTTCCTCAACATAAAATGTTCCCGGCCAGGGCTCTAGATTAAACCGCACGATCCGGGGGCGACCGCACTTCCGTAAGGCAACACATAAGGCCACCGCGCTTCCACAATTTCTATTATACTAATTATTAAAATCGACTCTTACCTGAATGTATGTAACATTAAGAAAAATAAGAAAACTTATAAGCGAAGTAAACTGTAGGAAATTCATCCCTAAAAAGAAAGAGAGAGTCCGTTAAGATAAGCTAAGCATTGTACCATGGGCTGCTTTTAACAAGACCAAACAACTCAGTGAAGTGCCTCATGCAGAGTTTATTAATTCAAGGAGATTTTCGAAGTTCTTAAAGTCCGTAATGGAAAGTGCTGGAAACGGTTTTGAGGAAGAATAATCACGCTTCAGTCCTAGAACAGTAGAAACTCAAAATGAATAAATTACGGAAAGAAAAAAAAAGATGAGAAAATATAACTTGAAGGTGAAGTGAGTGCTACGGGCCAGCTGAACTAGCTTGTAGAGCGCAGCTTAGTTTGGTGTCTATGGTACGGTAGTAGTAATGCTGAAATATCCCACGGGAGGACCTCCATGTGAAAAAGTCGGGCACACAAGTCGGAACGTTTGAATTAAAACCTGATTAAGCCCTTAAAAGACCAATCTTGGTGTGGTTTCGCTTTATTTGACCGCTAAAAGGTACCGCGGACTGCGGCTCGTCCTAAACACTCCTATAGAAACGACAAGCATCTCCAACCTTTTCCCGCGACGTAAATGCTCACCCCACCGGAATAGTGTCAACTCCCTGTAAAGACATAAATTATTATCGCTGTGTTGTACGCAACTTAATCAGCTGTGAAAATAAAGCCTGAAAAACCAAACAAACAAACACGCAAACAAGCAAATAAATAAATTTAAAAAAATCAGGCTTGAACGTTCTGTCCCGTTCAAGTCTGATCACTGGGATTACCATCATTCATGTCTTTAGTTACATCTTTCTCCGCAATTCGAATGTATGATCTTTTATATAACGAAAGTGGACTCGACTAGTTCTCGTTCATTTTATACGATTAACAGAACTGTCTCGTGGGAGTGATCTTCTATATATTCATTTGCAATATTAACCCTCGAAGTGGATGGCTGCGTTGGAAAAGCAAATTGTGGTTAAGGAAACATTAGCAACCCGATAAAATGATAACTTTCCAAGTGACACTTGCCGATCGCTTTTGGCGAACGAATTGATTCATTTGCCATAATTCGCGGGGGATATCTGTCGCTCTAGAAGGCTGAAAAAATTTTAGATCCGGAATACGTGCCCAGTTCACTTCAGTGTTAATGTATTCTTTTGCTTACACGGTAAGAAGATACATAACGTAAACGATTTTAGTTTCTATTTCTCGCATTAATGTCATCGCATAGAATGTATTACTTACTTTATTTTGGGAATCTGACCAATTTAGCAGACGGGAAAAAGATTATAAAAATATCACCAATTCTTTTCTAACGCCTAACAGTCCTATCAAGTAAACTGTGCGAGATTTCATCGCCTCACCTTACAGTACGTTTCCCGTAGGCTGTACTATGCTTTAAGTCCGTTGAGACAATTAACTTGTCGTCTACATTTCACTATAGTTTCATTTACATTTCATTTCACCTGCACTAGGATTCATAGCAAAACAGGTGAGCCAATGGAGCTGACATCGTGGGCTGTACTGTCGACAATAAAATTAACGGGTCGTCTTTAAATCGCATCAGCGCACCGACCAAGCGACTAAAATTCATATTACGATTCAATGAACAAGCTAGAAAGATGTTACTAAATGAAAATTATTGAGATTAATTGTTGTTAATGCGGAATAAATTTTTTTCATTGGTGATCAGTTCAAACTTTTCAAAAATGTTCTGGGCCAAAATATGTAAGAGGGAGGAGCTTTGTTGATGACAGGAAAGAAACGAGAGAAGAAGGCTTGTCTTGTCTCATTATTTTACTACCTAAAGCCGTAAGCAGGTCACGCGGAGAGCTTCACAGTTATTAATTGTCGTTCTTGTTCTTAGAGGTCTCCATTCTTATGGTCAAAAATCGAGACGCACCTCTGTCGTTCGTTCGGTCACCGCTGACCAAAAACGCGCGGGAGTCTGGAAACGAGATTAAGGTATGAGGGTCTCAAATCTCAATGGGATTAACCGTTACCAGTAAAACAGACCAAAAATTTAGCCGTTAGACGTAAAATATGGGAAATTTAATCCGTTAACCGTAAAAAAGTTAACGATAAAAAAAAAAAAATAACAAAAAAAAATTAGCCAAAAAACTTTAAGTCTCCACATCTCTTGTCAAGACCTTTTTGTGTCTTATCCTGTGGCTTGTGTTTGTAGCTTACTATATTAGAAAATAAAATTCTTATAATAGTAAGCTAAGTAAGTAAGTAACAACTTTATTTTTCTAGGGTAGCACATGACTGGAAAAACTGTGGACCTCAATCTAAATTACAAATATTAATAATACTAAGACAAATACAGCAAATAAAAAAAATTAAAAATACTAGAAAATAAGAAAAAGTAGTACTTTAGAATTTCAATAATACCTTTAATACCTTTTCCCTTGCCGGAATGGTTCAAAGGCCTTCAATATTATTTTTACAGGAATCAAAATAAATTTGTGCTTTTTGAAACAATGGTTATTAATTTCCAAGATTTCTGTCAAACGTAAGATAAATAAATGAACCGTTAGCCGTGAATTAAAGAAGCCAAATTATTAACTGATAGCCGTAAAAGCTATAGCTACCACTTCATCGGGACCCCTCAGGTATTGCGGTAAGTATAAGCAGAGTTGGTTCTGTCACATAATCGTTAGCACAGAAGACTCCAGACAGCTAGACTCGATGAATAGAAGGATTACATCTAAGATTCAGACTAATTGCTAAGAAAAAGGACTTACAAAGATTTGGTTACAGTTTTAAAACTTCAATCTAAATGAACATTTCATAAACCAAGTTTTTCGCGAACTTTGACTGGTTCTTATGATCTAATGCAAGACAGAATTATAAATGAAGTCATTAAGATTTTTTTTGTTTTATATATAGAACAAATAGATTCCAAGTTACCGTTCGTCTGTCCCTTAATAAATCACAACAGTAACAATAGTAACTAATTGACACACTCAGCCTAAAGGCTCGTGTGTCATTTTTACCACATTTTTACCACTGACATTTTGACGTCAACTTCCCGCTTGACGTCTTGTGTGATCTGTTACTGAACAGACGCACGGCAACATGGAATCTATTCGTTGAATTTTTTCATTTTAAATGGTCCACACAACTCTTTGAATAACTAGTTAATTTTTCCTTTTTTTTTCCCTTTTGTCTCATATCGTAGGAATAATTCTCCCACAAAAACAAGAAAACAACAACAACAACAACAACAACAAACAAAATAAAACAAAAAACAACATCAAAACAGCAAAAGGACGCGTACTGTCCAATTACAAGCATGACGCGTACACTGTCCAATTAATGCTCAAATCGGGCTGCTGATAGCTAATCACGTTCGAGAATTTTGTTATAGTTTTGATTAAGAAAGCAATAAATGGTTAACTTGAGCAAAACGAGCACTGTTACAATCGGCCATCGATCGATCAACGGACTTAGTTTGACTTTGTTGCTATGCGTGGTGCAACAACACTTCTGAACTACGCGTGTAATCAAACAAATGCATTTAGACTCAATAGCTCTTTAACCACGCAAATGTTAAAAAAGGGTTTAAATGGCGTTTGATACTCTACAGGTAAAAGCCGTGGAAGATTTGTTAAGTTTTACAAATACGAACGGCCATCGATCGATCAACGGACTTTGTTTGACTTTGTTTCTATGCGTGTGCAACAACACTTCTGATCTACGTGCGTGATCAAACAAATACATTTAGACTCAATAGCTCTTTAACCGCGCAAATGTTAAAAAAGGGTTTAAATGGCGTTTGATACTCTACAGGTTAAAGGCGTAGAAGGTTTATTAGATGTAAGTTTTACAAATACGAACGGCCATCGATCAACCGGCGCATCATCAACATGGCGTGGGCGGGAAAGAGAGATTGGGGAGAGTGAAATGAACAATTCAAAATGTCACTAACAACCTCATCTTACAAAGGTGACATTTTATTCTTCTAGTAATTTGTAAATACATTTCAAATTACTTTAAATGAAACGTTTTTTCCCTTACTTTTCCCAGTCCTTTCCCCCTCTCCCCGCCAATATTGCCTGCTTCGCACGATGGTCTCGATGAACTCTGGGAACGAGGATGACAAAGAGTCTAATGGCGGAAATAGGGAAGGCGTAACAGTGACCGAAGACAGAAAAAACGCGAGGATTCGCTCTGAAATTTGCTTTACTGGCCACTCTTTATCGTACACTACGACGGATTAAGCACCTAGGATCCTATTCTTGATACTTTGTTGGAGTCTTGGAGGGAACTAGCGGAGGTTAACGAAGAAATTCCACTGTACGTGAACGTTGGACTTGTTGGAATTTGTTTCCAAGGAGAACGTTTACAACGTTACAAGTGAAAAGCTAGCTTATATTTCGATTCCCAGAGTTTTGTGCAACCTTTTTACAGTTCTGGGAGGTCGTCTATTACCATCGACGTAAAATATTGCGATGGATCTCTTCAAAGCAGAAATATGGCGGAGTTTTGTGAAGGTGACGTTTATCATGTCCAGTTTGGTCGTCATCACCTCGGGTAAGTAGATCTACACATTTTTGAAACCTTAATTTGTCAATTTGCCCGACTGTGCTCTTTAACCTCCATTGACAGTATTTGTTATTGCCTTTCTTTTCGAAGTGTACGTTCGCGTGTTAAAAATTATTAACGCTTCTTTCGTGTAATATTCTTTCGCTATGACGTAGTTTAATTAAGCATAATAAACGCAGTATTTAAAATGCTGTTGAACGAGCTCCGCGAGGGAAACTGTATAAAATGTGTCGTGTTTAGAGTAATTCAGGATGTTGTGGTATTGAAGTTCAATTTGAATTTCCGTTCATGTTTAAAAAGTGGTGAAATGTTTAAGCTTCCGTCTGTAACGCGCACAGACTCTCTTTCTGCTAATAAATGCAAATTATGGGTTGTGATCAAAGTGCCCGAAAAACATTGATACTGCTTTGTTGCTACAAGTGTAAATCATACTGCCATCATTTAAAGAGCATTGAAATTATGGTAGCCATCAGACCTTGTTGCTGCCTTGAAGTATAACTCATTCCAAATATTCAGAAACTGTATGATATTATGTGATCCCAAATGTTAGACACTTTGTAATAATTTATGTACAGTGTAGACTCCTAAAGTGCTAAAGTTACCCGAAGACTTTCAAGGGATAATATTTTCCAAAAAAAAAATGTTTTCAAGCCAAATTAGTGATTACTGTTTTATGGGCATTTTCCAAAACAAAACCTACAGTGTTGTCCAAAAGTAATGCAAGCAATAATCGTCGAATATCATGAAAATCGTGATATACCAGCGATATTTAAGACTAATTAAGTTCAAATGATATATCGAGCGATATAACAGCTATTGTGTTATTTTTCGGTAGGATATTGCGAGATATCGTTTACACTTTGTGATATATCATTTCCATTCAGCGGTATATTGTTCTTGTTGAGCGATACATCGTTCTCGTTGAACAATATATCGTTCTTGCTTAGCGACATATCGTTCCCACTTAGCGATATATCTTACTCCCTTAGTGATATATTGTTTTCGCTTAGCAATACATTGTTTCTGCTCAGCGAGATATCGTTGACTCCTTGTGGCACAAATGTACATATCTTCACAGACCGTTTAAGCTAATGAAGGATCCTCTTCGCTACAAACTAAGTTTTTAAGATGGCGAGTTCATTTAATGAGATAAGATCATAAATCAAACATGTGAGCTACAGCACGTAAATCGATCGAACGTACCTGTCCAGGTTCCAAAAGAAAAGAAAAAAAAAAAAAAACTCACTCAAACAATCGTGAATTCCTGCAACAAGTTTTATACCAGAGAGGACAACTCTATCACCTCAGAGGTTTAGGTGGGCAGAATAATCAAGAACCGGAAAAGTAGATGTTATGTGTATTTTTGGCTGTTCGTTTAACATGGCCTCCTGCCGTGTAAGCCAATAGGATCCAGTCTCCACACAATGTTCGAGTATTGATTGGCATGGCAATGCGAGAAATGATTTTCCCTGACTTGGCAAAGTCTTGTCAAAATTTGTTTTGTCAGCTTTCATTATTTATTTATTTTTTTTGTTATGGTAGCATATATGCTATAGGTATGTCTTTGTGCAGAGACTGGGGTTTAATCAGGGAAACTTTGTGTGTATTTACATGTACACACAGTTAAAATGGTGTTAAGGCAAGCGAGTTCGATTTCTGCCACTCTCTTGGCTCCAACAACAATGCTTCTGGGTTGTGGAATCATCTTTATAGTCTATGAGTTACTGGAGTGTAACAAGGTAAGTTTATTTAGACTTTAGAGGAATCGATCGAAGCTTCCATTCACAAAAAGAAGAGAGCGAAGGTTTGTGCTTCGTCGAACCAGTTATTGCTTGACTGTGGCTGTGTTCATTACACGTACATAGACTTAATTTATTTATAGTGTTCCCATTTAGTGGTTATTTACTGCTATTTTAGTTTGACACTTAAATAAAGGTATTCATTCATTCATTCACTTTAACACTAATTCATCGTACACAATCTCTTCACTATGATATATCATTGCGGGGAACTTGGCTTTACTACGATATATCGTTATATAGTGAACTTCGCTTCAATGATATATCGCGACGATATATCGTTTCGCTTTACAAGATATTGTTGCAGTGAATTCTCGCTCAAACGATATCACAGCGATATATCGCGAAGATATCTCCGATTTAGCGCTGATAAATTGTTTTGATGCTCGCTGGTTCCTGGGATATTTCGCTGATAAATTGCGAGAACAAAGCGCGATATTCATTGATTATTGCTTGCATTACTTTTGGACAATACTGTATACAGTGTAAATATATAAATTACCGAAACTTCAGACCTACATGTATACGAGTTACATGTATCCACAAAAAAATAATTCTAACATAAGGAAACAGTCTGCAAATTGACATGAACCAAAACTGGAATGCGTCAAATGCAGCAAGTTGTAAAAGTGGCAGTCTTGGCTGCAGACTAGGTTTTCGTGCTTTAAGTATTGGCTTCTATTTTCTTTCAATGACTGTGTGCATCCTCGAAAGCCTCAGCAAAATTATCAAATTTCAGAAACATTAACCCACAATATTGAAATAATATGTTTATTACAAGGGGTTTATAAAGCTAGGGATGCATTACAGTGGTTATCAATCACACGCGACCTTCAGCGCAAAAACATCTTGACAAAACCTAAGTTTTGGTGGATGTCAATAATCTCCGCCTCCTTGCCGACTGTATGCAAAATTTACCTGAAAAAAAAAACAAGTCTGAAACCTTGCAGCAGTCCACTTGTAAAACTTATCATTCTACTTTCGGTATATATCACTTGCTCACTAATTACATTGGTGTTAAATATTCCTTGAAATCTATAAATGAAGACGTTTGCTGGGTTTTCAACGGCCATTCGCATGCATGAATGACCCTGAGATCAAGCAAATCTGCAAGTGAGCGAACAAATTATTTTTGTACATATTTTTCTTGGGGCTACGAACTGAACAATACTTTAACCTTAAAACTTGTAACTTATGTTACAAAATTAAAAGGTTTACAAGAAGTTTAAGTCTTGTTCAGTCCATCTACTGCAGAAATAATTTGTTCACGTGTTGATCTGCTTGATCTCAGGGTCATTCATGCATGCAAATGGCCGTTGAGAAACCCGACCAGCCTGTCTTCAGTTATAAATTTCAAGGAATATTTAATGCCAGTGTATTTAGTGAGCTAGCCATACGTGCTGAAAGTAAAATGATAATTTTTACGAGTGGACTGCTGCAAGGTTTCAGACTTTTTTTTTTTCAGGTAAATTTTGCATACAGTCAGCAAGGAGGTGGAGATGATTGACATCCACCAAAACTTAGGTGTTGTCAAGATGTTTTTGTGCTGAAGGTTGCATGTGATTGATAACCGCTGTAAGTACAGTGTAGGATATTAAATCAGGGCTCGAAAAAAGTGTTGTCAAATACAGTATACTGATCAAAGAAAGTATGCATTGTATGTGTTAATTTTATTAATTATTATTTTTTAGCTTTCAGTTGCAACTTTGATACATCCATGTGCGGTTTTGTCCAGGACAGTAATGATACCTTTGACTGGACACGTCATCGGGGAAGCACTTCCTCTATGTATACTGGACCATCTGCTGACCACACCACAGGAAATGGTATGAATAGAGACCTTCCTTGATTATACCTTCCTCCTTTACTTCATTTGAAAATAGGAAGAAATCTTATTTATTGTTATGGTGGAATTTTATGCCCAAGGAGGGGATCTAGTAATAAATGTAATGAGGTGAAAACTACTTTTTTAATAAAGGCCACATGATTTTGTTTTCATAAATATACAAATAGAAGGATGCTCTTTATACTCATTAGAGTTTTTAAGTCCTTTATGATTGATAGTACATTTATAAACACTATAATTTATGTAAGTTGATACAAAGGTTGGCATGCATCAACAACAAAATGGAAGAACAAAATTAATCTTTCAAATGAGAGTACTTACATAGCAATGACTACACACCTTGATCGGATATACATGAGCAATGTCACAACTGCACAACAAAACAACTTGAAAGGCTAAATCTGTAATCTGACTCAGTTGACTGAGTTGATCAAAGTTAAAATTTGGCCTGGTGTTCCCCCCCCCCCCCCCCCCCCCCCCCCCCCCCCCCC